AAAAAGAATCCCTCAACCCAAAGATGAAGACTTCCCAAAGGAAGACCCTTTCAAGGCACCTCCGCGGGTCTCACGACCATCCTGTTGCCGATATGATCTAAAGACTGCTGGGTTTAGAGTTTAGGGCTTTGGGGGATTAGGGTTGCGGGCACTGTTGGTTGGGTATTCCGACTATCTCACTGGCACGAGGCAGTGCGGATGAGGGAGTAAGACTTAGCTAAGGTCTTAATTCAAATTTAAGGCAAGCAGGGGAGATTCGGTATTAAAAGTGCACATCACTACTGCGTTTAGGAGGAGGCAACGAATCCGTGCCGCCTCCTACCACTTGCCAAGCTGAACCACCATACATCAGTGCCCTAAACCCCAGAAGGCCTAAACCATGCACTTTTACCACAAGACTCTCTGTTTCATGTGCCAGTCTGGACGCCTGAACAACTACCTAGACGAGCTCCTAGGATTCCTAATATCATCTACCCCCCAAAGCCTTGTTCTAATTTCCAAGGCCCCTGTCTTAAACCCAAGAGAGCCCAACAAAGCCCTTACAGATATCCTTCAAAAGGGGTCCTCCAAGAGAACCCTAGTCTAAGCGTAAAAGACCCTATGTTAAACCCCATAACATTATTTATTCAACAACCGAAATACACCGCTTTTTAAGGGACACTTCACAGGAACCTTGATCTTTTGCTTACACTCTCACAACTTGGACAAACCAGGCGAGGTCTGTCAGGCGCAGTCGGTGTGAAAACGAGGTTTAGGCCTCCATCTACTGTTCGAATCATTAAATAAGGCCCCTAACTTATATGATTATCCACCATTCCCCTCCTAAGAACCCCTACACCCCAAACCCCAAATTCTAAACCCGAGTAACCTAGTATATTGCGAGCAGAACCATGGTAGCGCTTCGAAAAATCGGTCCTGGCCAAGAGCTGCAAAGGCGCTGAGGCCAGTGGAGAAAGGCCTTGGGAATCAGGCCTTCTTAGGGTCTATCTACAAGGGCTTCAAGGAATCTAGGCCTTTATAGGGTCTATAATATTATATAAGGGCTTCAAGGAAGCTAGCCTTTACGGGGTCTAAGAGTCTAGGGTTTCAAGGAATCTAGACCTTTATGGAGTTGTTTCACTCCCCCATGGCAGAGAACAAAGCTCACAAGCGAGGTTGATCAGGGAAGTACAAAAGGCAGCAAAGACAAGTAAGCAGGGGATGCCACCCCGTATTGTAAGTGCCGAAAAGCATGTCCTTTACAGGGTTTTCGGTTAAGTGCAGTGGCCTTTTCGTCTGAGCTAACCTGCCTCTTTACGAGGTTTAGGGCCTAGGGTGTTGAGACAAGGCTCCTCTAAAGGGTTACTACTTGGGTTAGCACAGTAATACCAGGGACTGTAGGGGAATACTACGATGTATTCCGACCCCTGTTGGGAATGGGACTCGTGTGTCTCCACACGGCCTGGAAGGCTCAAAGGGCACCCCAACATTACAAAGCATGACCCGGGACTTATTCTCGGCTGTGCTGGGGCTGTTAGAGCTTTGTGCAGTGGCATGGCGGTCTTTTCGCTTCGCGCTCCACGCAAGCATTCCTTGGGTCCGGGCAGTCGGGATTCGGGGCTTCCAAAATCAACTTGGACAGTCCAGGTTCGGTTTTGTTTGGTTTAGCTTACCAGGTCTCCTGGTACTGGCGACCCCAAGCCCTGCATTGCGAGTAGAAGGGGGCAGGACTCTGCCAAAGTGAAAGTCAGCGATGACACTGCGCCGTCCTAATGCCACCCCCGTTACAGCCACCTATGCCAAGCCACAGCACAATGCTTGCAGAAACGCCTGTCCCCAGGGAGACTCCAGGCAAAGCTTTCCGGACGGTAACTTTGGTCCTGCACCACACCATGGCAAAGGGATCTACAGCCTAGACTGCTCTGCATGCTAAGCTGCTAAGCTTCGGCTTACACCCGTGCTTACTCGTGGACTGTTGCGGCACCGTCTCCACAGGCTGTGGGAGGGATCTCCACTAAGGACTGGCAGCACGACCCTTTCGGGGTCTGCTTACTTTGCCGCCTGCACCGGTCACCATGAACCCCTTCGAAACTCGAGATCAGGATGGTTAATAGGGACCTTCATAATTAGAATAGCTTTCGCGGCAGACTATCGGATGAATATCATCTTTTTTCTAAGGCCTACGTCATCCTGCCTACAAAGCTCGGCCAGGGGTTCTTGCACGCCACCATCCACTCCAACGAAGCAGGCCCATCCTCAGATCAAGGAGATGTTTGAGGGTTTAGGTTTTTATTTTGCACTACCCTTTTCCGCCGACATGGTTTGGGGTTTAGGGCCAGCGCGGTTTCGACACACACACTCGCACAAGGCTGGCGTGGCAAGGAGACGTCCCGAGCGCCAGGGCGGTTTAGGGTTTCCTGTCCTCCCGCATGACCAGGAGACAGGGTGCTTAAGATAGCGGCAAACAGCATGCGTTTCGAGGGAATGCCTGATAAAAGCTATCATGCATTTACAAGACAAACGAGCTACGAGGCAAGTTTCACGCTTGATGATAAGCCGTCGTAAACCGATGCAAGGATTCCACTGCACGAAGGATTCTGCAGATCTCGGGCTTCTGCTCTGAAAGCATAGGGTCATAGATCAATTCCACAGCTCAATGACTATGCCTATGCATCGCGTCGAAACACTCTTGTGGACCCCTACTGTAGCTGCTCCCAGCTGTTAGCTATTGCCATCATTGGAATAGACGCGCACAAAGAAATTACTTGTGTGCATCTTTGCTGCGGCACTGTAGTTCGGTGAGCTCATCGAGGTAAGAGCCCGGATCATGCAGATCGTCGCACACGGCAATGGTCTGCACATCCTTGATGCTTCTTGACAACAGAGAAATTCCGTTGTAAGGGGCCTCAAGAAACAGAACAACGTTGTGAATTGCGGGCACATTCTAGTATAATTTATGAGGAACCCTGAGGCATGGTACTGGTGATTGCTGAGGCCCCTATTATATTGTGGTGGCGCAGGGGGCGTTCAAGTTTCCAGCATTAGCCGAGCGACTGCTGCAACCAATTCGCCCAGCAAATCCTTAGACAGCCACTTAAGATTGCATTCAAGGTAGGGAATCTGGGGAAGCGGCAACTCACAACTATGCAGCAAGCCCCATATATCCATCCTGAAGCCGATTTTAGTCACCTCAATCCCACCATGCCTCTCATGCTGCGTCGAGACGCATGGAGGCAGCCCTGAACAAAGGGGACACGCAGCACATGTCCCATGGAAACCTTCAGAGCTTGGCAGGTTCACAAGGTCTTTGAAGTTCTGAAGCATCGGTGTAGGGCTTCAGGTTTTCGACTTTCACACTCGCGCAAGGCAGCCAAGGCAAGGTTTACAGGCTGAGGTAGAAAGGAGTTTGGAGCTTGCGTTTCACCTGGATGTAGGTCTCGAAGACATTCACATGTACACTTTCTTTGTGCTAACGATATTGACTATGAGCTACGGACCTTCTCCATGTTGGAATCGCGATCTTACACTCCGAGCCTCAGCCAAACTTCCAACTACGCGACAACTAGCAAATATGTTATACAAGTACTATACTGATGTGTGTATTCAATTCTGTTACAATAAATCTGAACATGCATAGAATATATACACACACAAAAAGTGTGTGTATACATAGACATATATATATATATACATACATATATATACATATGTTAAACGTATAGAACTTTCTTTCGCCAGGGCTGTGGTGAGGGGTTGTGGCCCCTCACCGATATATATATATATATATATGTATGTATGTATGTATGTATGTATATATATATATATTCTTATTATTATTATTACAGAGAGAAAGAGAGAGAGAGAGAGAGATATATATATATATATATATATATATATCCAACCCCCCCTGGACCAACCTTTCACATGAAATCTTATAGACTTTCAAAAGTCCAGAGCTCACGATACTGTTTTTGAGTTCCAGAAACCTTAAACCTTTCTAAAATGTCCAAAAATTCAAAAAATCCAAAAAAATCCAAAAATTCCAAGAATTCCAAGAATTCCAAGAATTCCAAAAATTCCAAAAATTCCAAAAATTCCAAAAGTTCCAAAAGTTCCAAAAGTTCCAAAAGTTCCAAAAAGTTCCAAAAATTCCAAATATTCCAAAAATTCCAAAAAATCCAGACCTAGGTTTTGGAT